AGGGGACTGTGGGTGAGGATTAAGGGGCACTGGCAGAGCTGAGGGGAAAGGGGGGAAGACCAGGGCTGGAACAGCAGGGGACAGTGGGTTAGGATTAAGGGGCACTGGCAGAGCTGAGGGGAAAGGGGGGAAGACCAGGGCTGGAACAGCAGGGGACAGTGGGTTAGGATTAAGGGGCACTGGCAGAGCTGAGGGGAAAGGGGGGAAGACCAGGGCTGGAATAGCAAGCGAGCTGTTGTTCAAATCTGAAGTAAAACTCTGTAGTAAAACTTTCCAGCAGCTGCCATATGTGACTTTATGTTCGCATCACCAAATTTACCCTTAAAACATAAGCAGAAAACAAAGTATCAGTATCTATTCACATTGCTCTCTTACCCTCACAAATCCAGTCTCATATCTGACCACTGAGACAGTGACATTATAGACTTCAACCGTCACATAACCAACATAGGAAACACGCGTGTTGCCCCTGTTGTCGTTCTTGGCCTTGACACTGAACGACGGGAGAGTTGAGTCTGAGCCACAGGTCTTGGCGATGGTGTAGGTGCAGGTGCCCATGAAGTCGAAATTCCGCCCATCGAAGGTGTGATAATGTGGGTCTCCCTGAGCCCAGCAGGTGGATTCTGACTCAGCCACACACTCCGGGCGGCCATCTACAATCTGACACGTCTCTTTCTTCCTGCACTGAACAGAGCTGCAGGACAGGGTCGAGTTACCTACAAAGATTCAACCAGCCAGTTATACAAGAACTCACGTATGCCATGGACTGGCAGGCATTGAAACAATCTGTTTGTTTGCTGTGCATTTTTCAGCCACTAGCAGTCCAAGTGCAGGATGAGGGGGCCGATAAACAAAGGAGACGAAGCTTGATTTCAAGCTGGGTGCACTCTCTTTGTGTATATTTGTTGTCATATCCCATTCTATGGAGGATTGGGAGAGGGGGGCTGGCTTTTATTTACACCCAAAATTGACTTACTGTGTGCACAAAGGCCAGATGAGCCATATCCACCGTGATTGTTCCCTCCAAAGCTCAGCAGACCGAAGGGAGAGGTCGGGTGCTCTATGGAAAGGGTACTAATCCCTGTGCCGAATCTGTACTGTCCCCAGGAATACTCCGTGCCGGGGATCTGCCTCCACTGGACATTTCCTATGGCTCTCTGATCAGAGGTGATCCTGCCGGACTCTGAGCTCTTGACTATGATCAGCACATGGTTCTCAAAATCCTTCACCCCATCAGTGTGGTAGGACTGGCAGTAGTTCGTGACGGGTGGGATGTTGATGAAGAACGGGTCATACGTGGATTTCCCATTTTTAGCACCAGTGAAGAAGAGAAGAACCTGGATGCCGGCACTAGCAGAGATGTAAAGTGGGTGAGAGACTCGGACTTCAAATTCAACAACCCGCCCGGCCAATATGTTGCGGGAAGCTCGTGTGGGCCCTGACTGATAGTCAATGCGCGTGTTTTGGGCGGCGACGATGTACGCAATGTCATACTTGTTCTGGAAGGACAGAGGAGGGACGATGTATGTGCTGCCCCAGCTGGAGACGGACAGGAGCTGCTCGACAGCGTGATCACAAACGGTGTATTTTTCAGCACAGCTGTGCCCAGTCAAGACGGCCACAGGTTCCCGAGACTCGATCTTGGTACCGGATAAATCAACTAAGCTTTGCAGTTGCAAGGCTTGGTAGGGAGCGAGGGCAACAGTGAGTTTGCTCCCAGCAGCATACATCCACCGGTTGAACATTACAGCCCCTTTCAAGTAAATATCAACTGTAGTGGGAGCCTGCCCTGCTACGACAGCAAACTCTTTGTAGCTTCCTAAATGTAAACCAGGTGCAGTTACAATGTAATATACAGTACCCAACTTCTCAGTGGGGTACACTACAGTGGTAGCAATGGAATTGGGCTTTGAGTTAACAGACAGGACAGAGATGTCTTTGTCAGCCTGAATCAGGATGGTGCTATCAAAGATTTTGCTCCCAAACATCTCTACTGAGGCTGGGATCTGCACGGTCACCGTCTGTCCTTCTCCAACAGGCGTCACTCTCCGAAACGTATTACCTTTGTTCACCGTCACAGTAACCGTAGTGGAGGCATGGTAACCAGTGATGAACAGCTTGCAATCTGCTCTGACACTTTGGACATAGTTTTGCATGAAGACCGTAATGAATTCTTTCCCACGGAAACTTGCTCTGCAAAGACCTGAAAGTAACAGAATGTGGGTTAAGAAAGAGGGTCAGAAACTCCACACCAAATCGCAGCTGGGAAAAGAACCCAAGAGTCCCAACTTCCAGATTCACTGCACTAAACAAGAGATACTAGTCACCTACCCGAGGTGGGAATAGAACACTGGAGTCCTGACTCCTAGGCCCTCTTAGTTCAACCCTAAACCCCACTTTCCTTCCAGACTTAAAAATAGAAACCAGAAGTCCTGACTTCCAAACCCCTCTGCTCTAACCATTAGACTGGCACTGTCCTCCCGGAGAAGGGAGAACATGCAAAAGAAGACCAAATACGAGGAAGAATGACTTAATAACAGTAGGAAATAAAGTATGAAGAAGAAGCTTAAATGTGAAAAAGACCAGACATGAAGAAAGCAAATCAACCATCGCAGAGAACCCTGAACTTGAAAAACAAGGTCAACTGAATATGAATACAAAGAAAAAGATGACACACAAAGAAGTCCCACCAAACACAGGGACAAATGTGAGGAAGACAGAAAACAAAGAAGATGAGAACCAACATGAAGAACAGTAACTCCTCACTTGTAGTTATGTTCCTGAAAAATGCAACTTTAAGTGAAATGATGTTAAACGAATCCAATTTTCTCCTAAGATTGAATGTAAATGTGGGGGGTTAGGTTCCAAGGAAATTTTTGGGGGGCAGACAAAAGGCATTATATACTGTACTGTACTGTACTGTGGTGGGGAGGTGCCCCTAGCTTACTCCTGGGGATCAGGGCTGGGGGTGCAGGGTATGGGAGGGAATTAGGGTGTGGGAGGGTGTTCAGGGTGGGCTGTGGGGTCTGGGAGGGAGTTAGGGTGCAGGAGGGCGCTCAGGGTGGGGTGTAGGGTCTGGGAGGGAATTAGGGTGTGGGAGGGCACTCAGGGTGGGCTGTGGGGTCTGGGAGGGAGTTAGGGTGCGGGGGGTGCTTAGGGTGGGGGTGCGGGAGGAGGCTCAGGGCTGGGGCACGCAGGGGGTGCAGAGCACTTACCTGGGGCAGCTCCTATTTGGTGCAGAGGGTGTGCAGGTGGCTCTGCGCAGCACGGCACCATCCCCATGGCTGCAATTCTGGGACCCGCGATTCTGGGAGCTGCCCCCCGCCCCCGGCAGGCAGGGCCCCCGGAACCCAGGTGCTTTAGGGGCTGCAGGGCCCTGGGCTAAGGGGGCCCTGGGGCCCTGGCCTGCAGCTGTAAAGGCCCTTTCAGAATGCGGCCCTGCAAGTACGGGCTGGAGGACTCAGGAGGAAGAGGGGCAGCCGCGCAGCCAGCGGCCGGAGAGAAGTGGCGCTTTCCCCTTCAAAGCTGGCCGGAGAGAAGTCCCTGCTCCTCCTGAATCCTCTGGCCCGTGCTCGCAGGCCTCAGGGCCCCCTTAGCCCAGGGCCCTGCAGCCCCTAAAGCCCCTGCGTTCCGGATGGCCCTGCCTGCCGGTGGGGGGGCAGCTTCCCCACTCGCTCCCTCCCTCCCTCCCAGAAAATCCTAAGTGCCGCCAAACAGCTGGGGGAAGCGCTGGGAGGGAGGCGGAGAAGAGGAACTTGTGCAATACTCCCTTGTAAAGTCAGCCAAACGACGTTATAAGGGAGCATTAGACAACTTTCAACAAGTATGTTCCCTAATGGAGCAGCGACGTAACTTCGAAACAGCGTTAAGCGGGAGGACGGTAACTGAGGAGTTACTGAAACTTGAAAATGATGGAGAAGAATGACTGAGCACGAGTGAGAGAAAAGATTGAACAAAAAGAAGCCAGAACAAGACGAAGAGCGAGCCTCAAGAAATCCAAATGTGAAGAAGATTGAGCAGGAAGAGGCCAGAACAAGAAGAATGAGCATGAAGCAATCCAAACTTGAAGAATAATGCTGAGTATGAAGAAGACGAAAGAAGAATGAGCATGAAGAAATACAAATTTGAAGAAGAATATTCAGTACAAAGAACATGAGAGAAAAAGACTGAGCATGAAGACAGAACAAGATGAAGAATGAGTATGAAAAAATCCAAACTTGAAGATTGAGAAAGAACAAAAAAGCATTAAGAATTCCAACCAAAGAAGAAAATCTAATTAAAAAGGAATGACTGGAGAAGACCAAACAGAGAGAGAACTGAGCACAAAGAAAGCTAAAAAAAATAAGATGAAAAAAATCAAAGAAAAAAAATAAAAAACCAACAGGTTGTTTACAGTTTCTGTTTAAATTTTTCAAAATCCAAAAAATTTCAAGGTGGGAAAAATCCCTCCGTTTCACCAAAGTGCTTTTAAAAAGGCCAATTTAAATGAGAATTCTTTTCATTTAAAAAACCTGAAACCAGCTTGACTGTTAAACCTTCTGAAGACACGTGTGCTACTTTGACTGCTGCTCAGGGGCAGGGTATTATAGTGGCTAAAGCCGACGCTGGGCTTCATAAGACATGGGTTCTGTTCACAGGTCTGACCCTGGTTGGCTGGGTGACTTCCCCTTTCTGTGCCTTAATTTCTCCAACTGTAAAATGGGGATAATGACCTGCTTTGTAAAGCACTTTGAGATCTACCGATGATAAAGCCTGGGTAGGAAATGATATTCCTGACCGATGAGAATTTTCAATATTTCTAACAATTTCCCCACTCCAGATTGGGATGAAAAGTGGAAATACTGAACATTTTTGCAAACTGAAACTCTGACTTTATTTCAGTTTGAAATGTTTTGAAATTGAAAGGTTTTGATTTGATCATTTCAAAACACTTCGTTCCAATTTTAATCTCCTTTTTTACATCGTTATAGACTAAATGAATTTACATTGCAAAACAAAAAGTCATTTTGAAATGAAAGAAACAGATTTTTTGTTGTGAAATTGTCAAAACGGGATGTGGGGTGGGAGATGTGGGGCCAGAGGAGGGGTACAGCATTAGTTAATGGGCATTTTGAGGGGTCAGGGAGAATCTGTGAGCTCAGCACAGTCTGGTGGCACTTTATACAGATCTGAGCACTTCGCTTTCAGTCAGGTTCTTTAGCAAGCCCTTCTGCAGTGTAAGCCCAAGGCCTTTGTCTGCAGCCAGATTATAAGAGCAGCCGAGCACTAGGTAAAAAAAACCAGATCTTAAGATGGCTAAAGAAAACTTAGTTTGATAGTGTCAAAACCCAGAGGCCCCCTCCCTCAGGGGGTCCCGTGGGGAGGCAGATCAGCGTTGTATGTTGCTAACGCGGTTACAAGCGTTTTGGGAAGGGTTAAAGGGTTAAAGGTATGAATGCGGAACAAAAGGTTTCTTTACAGGCGACGAAAGGCCGGAGGGGGAGAAAAGAACAGGTTAACTTGATGTTCCAGCTACACCCGAAGATAAGGAGCTGACTCCAGCCCAAGGCTATTGAACACACTCTGCTACCTGCCAAGAAGGAAGGGGGGAATCCACACCCCCCTTGACCAGCCATAAGAAAGGAGAGTGGTTGAACAAATGGCAGGGGCCACAAAAAAAGTAAAACAACAAGGTCAACAAGGGAAAAATAACCATCTCACGGCCGCCGGTGTGTTTTGGGGAAAGCTGAGAAGGCCACAGAAAGCCAGTTTGGACTGGTACAAAGAGCACCAGGAACAGAAGGCCCTGAACAAAAACACCCCCAAAAGAACCCAGGGCTTAAAAACCCTCTCGAGAGCCAAAGCAAGTCGGCGATCACAGTGGACCCTGGACAACCTGGGCCCAGGACAAGAACTCCCATCCACCCTTCTTCTTACGTTACCCCAGGCTTGGCCAGCCTCGGGTAGTGCGGGTGTGAGTATGAAAGTGAGTTAGGGCTTGGGGCACTAACGCTTTCTTCCTTCCTCTGAGTGACGTGGGGAACTCCCCCTCCCCCCCAGCACTCTCCACTGTTATTTTATTATTTTATTAATAAAGCTTTAAAACTTGGACGCTTGGTGTGTTTTGTCATCTCCTCCCCAAACAATCCTGTGGCCTCAGCCTGACCCCCTAATGCCTCAGGCAGATTGGTAACAGAAATCTATCACAGTTTTGGTGGAGAATTGCAGAGGAGGGGGAGCCCTGCGAAGCGCACAAACTGTTTTGCCCTTGGTATTTCATGTTGGCTCTGTCTGACACTGTTGATTTTACATGTTAAAAAATTTATAATTAAAGGTGAGCCCCACCCTCAGTCATAGCATGACTGAGAACCAGAGGGAGGTTTAGCATTCCTCTCTCCATCCTGGTCGGCGGGGGAAGGGTGCAGGTGGGTCTACCCCCGGTCGTAGCAATGGAAGGAGGACTTAGAAATTCTCATGTACACCCTCAGTTGTAGTATAACTAAGTATTAAAAAAAAAACTCGCTCTGCCCGGGATGGGTTTTAAATTTGGTGTATGGACCTCGGTGGTAGAGAAGACCAAGTAATACGGAGGAAGGCTTAGCATCTCTCCCTCTGGCCCAGGGGGGTGAGCATTGTAAGTTCCGGTGCCGGTCGGTGTGGGCAGTGTAAAATCTCAAGTAATTAAAAGACCTGCAAAGACCACCCCCCCTTTTTACGTTACACCCTGAACAAAAACACCCCCAAAAGAACCCAGGACTTAAAAACCCTCTCGAGAGCCAAAGCAAGTTGGAGATCACAGTGGACCCTGGACAACCTGGGCCCAGGACAAGAACTCCCATCCACCCTTCTTCTTACGTTACACTCAGGCTTGGCCAGCCTTGGGTAGTGCGGGTGTGAGTATGAAAGTGAGTTAGGGCTTGGGGCACTAACGCTTTCTTCCTTCCTCTAAGTGACGTGGGTAACCCCCCCCCCCAGCATTCTCCACTATTATTTTATTAATAAAGCTTTAAAACTTAGACACTTGGTGTGTTTTGTCATCTCCTCCCCAAACAATCCTGTGGCCCCAGCCTGATCACCTAACGCCTCAGGCAAATTGGTAACAAAAATCTGTCACAATAGCATCCTGTCTGTCAAGAAATCACTTATCAATAGCTGTGGTTGTGAAATCCTCATTTCTTTATTGTTTTGTCATTATGGTCCCCACTTCCCTATTG